ATATACAAAGCCAGAATTGAGAAGATAGCAACAGACAGCAAATGCCACCTCTGCAAAGAAGCTGAAGAAACAGTGGACCATCTAGTTAGCTGACCAAGCCTTAAGAATAAATATATACAAAGCCAGAATTGAGAAGATAGCAACAGACAGCAAATGCCACCTCTGCAAAGAAGCTGAAGAAACAGTGGACCATCTAGTTAGCTGCCTCAAGAAGTTCACACAGACTGACTACAGACAGTGACATGACAAAGTAGCTACAATAGTGCATTAGAATATCTGCAAGAAATATCCTTTGCCTGCAAGCAAGAACTGGTGGGACCATAAAACAGACAAAGTAGTAGAAAGTGAAGAAGCTAAAGTGCTCTGGGACTTTAGAATTCAACCCAACAAGCACCTCCCACATAACTCCCCAGACTTAACAATTGTTGATAAGAAAGACAAAAAAAAGTCTGGATATTGAACATTGCAATACGTAGAGACAGCAGAATAGAAGAGAGAGAACTGGAAAAAAATCACAAAATATAAAGCCCTGCAAATAGAAATAGAACGACTGTGGCAAAAGAAAGCAAAGATTGTACCGATAGTAATAGGCATCTTGGGTGAAATCTCAAAACATCTCAAGCACCACTTGAAGACCATTGGCATTGACAAAATCACCATAAGTCAATTGCAAAAGGCAGCTTTACTTGGAACAGCTTACATCCTGCGACGATACCTTTAACACCATCAAACAACATCTACCTATCCCAGGTTCTTGGGAATAGGTGGATAAAAATATCAAATCCAGTCTAAACAACTGGCTGATTGTGCGACCAACAACAAAAATAATAGAATCTTATGCTACAACAACAGGAGTGTAGTGTCAAGATGACAATAAATAATTGTTCCTTTCCACTCTGCACCAAACCTAAAATTTTGAAATCACATTTTAGGAAGGACACTATTAAGTTGGAGTATGACTAGAAGAGAGCAACCAAAAATTATAAGGGGCCTGGAAGGAAAAATGTATGAGGAACAGGTGGAGTTGTTGAGTATATTTAGTCTGAAAAAGGCTAAAATTGCAGGGATACATGGTAACTGTTTTCAAGTGTCTGACAAGCTGCCTTGTAGGAGATGAGGGAGAGCTGTTCCAAAGGACGAGAGGAGAAAAAATGGATCTAAATTACAAGGAAGCAGATGTCAGTTGGGCATCGGGAAAAACTTCCTAATTGTAATAGCTGTTCAACAATCCAACAGGCTGTGTCAGGACAAGGTGGATGCTCCACTGGAAATGTGAGGCTATATGGCCATCTGTTGAGGAGGCTGTAGTAGAGGATTTCCATCCTGAGAATTCTATGCTTCAATGAGATGCAATATGTACACTGACAAGTGCCTTGCTCAGCCACTTGGCCACCTCATTCAGCACCATCTGCAGCTTTTGGAGTAAGCACAAGGATAGCCCCATATATTCTGCATTACAATAATATGAAAGTGAAGTAACCATTCCACGAACAATTACAGCTATGTCATCTCTGTTCCGGAAAGGGCACAAAGCACATAACCGGTATACAACCAAAGCTAGCAATAGCCATTCCTAGCCACAGAGATTACCTGGGTGAATGTAGCATCCTCCATCAATTCATTCTTTGACTCAGTCCTTAATTCATACAAGTGGCATTCCATCCTTTTTCCATATGCTCTTCAGAATAGGTAACAATAATAAAAATACTTAGAATCTTACTACAAAAGAGGGGAGGAGAGTGCAATTGGAAACGGAAAGCTTGAGGGAACCTTGTCTCCTAAAAATGACTCTCAGAAAATAAGGGAATTTGTAAACAGCTTCTTGTGTTGACCTTAATGCCTGAATAATTCATATTTTCATAAGCAGCCTCCCAGATTGTCCAGCATTAAACCAATAATGCTTAGAAAGCAATCAATAACCAATCCTGATCTTTCAACATAATATGCTCCTAGTATAGTAGCATTCTGGTGCTGCCTTTTCCTTTCTTTTTTTTCCCCAAATAACACTTCCAGATACTTGTAAAGGTCATTCAATAACAACAACAACAGAACTGAACTAAGAATGAATAAGGTAACATCTTCCATCTTACCTCTGAGTGATGTGAAGGAACCTCTCGTAAAATCTCCACACCACATGTTTCACAATGAACCCTCCCAAGATGCTTAGCATGAAAATGGTACTTCAGAGCTGCACGACTGACAAAGTCATTTCCACATCTCTCACAGTTATAAGATTTCTGTTTTAGATGCCACATTCTGTAAAAACACAGAACCATGCTTTTGAAAAGAACCTCTTAACACTTCTGATCACAATACAGTAATATAACTACTATGCACATAGGAGCAACTAAATCTGAATAAATTGCCCCAGATCTCAGACAGTCTCCACATTTAGAATCAAACCGATCCAGTTCTGATCAGCTTGGAACAACACTCCTAAACCATCTAAGTAATTTATTTTAAGAGTGCTCATTTCTTTTCCAGTTTGATTTTTGTGTCCTTAGTTTAAAGGGTCAATTGCAAAGGAGAGATTTTCTGCCAAAAAGAAATCCTACCTTGCCAAAGCCATTGTGTCCTTATTTCATGCAAGTGTGTTTGTTTCTGTGTTGCCCAGTTACACTGCCAGGTGTACAAATCATCTCTGTACCACCCCTGGTGGCTTAGAATTGTGGGTATTGTAGTTTGTGCTACCGTAGTAAGAGACTCGAGTAATTTGTCTCACAAGGACTTCATAATGAACTTGGCTCTAATAGCACTGAAATAGTAGCCATAAACATACAGTGTGCATTGCAGCTCCTTTGGGGCTGTTGTGCATTTTACAGTGACTGGAAGAGGAGTTTGACATGAGACATTCATATTATTTATTTATTGCCATTAAAATCCCTGATTTTTTGTACAATATATAACTGGAGGTTTTGGAAATGTGGGCAATGCTTTGTCACCAATTATTGGGTGTGTTTTTCTCTCATATTTCCACCGCTTAAGCTGTTTGATTAATATGTCAGTGGAGAAGCAGCAGCAGCTCCTGTTGCTTTGTTAGCACAGAAACAACTGGCAGGAATGAAGGGCTGGAATCCGCACCATTTCCTGCAGAGTTTATTGAATGATAGCATTTTGAAACCCAAGTACTAGGCAGGTTACAGCAAGTCAAGAATTAATTCTGTAAATTAAGGCAAGAAGAAAGCAGGATTGTGAGCTCTTTCTGTTCATTTACTTCTGCATGCTGAAAGGCAAGAATGTACATTAAGCCATGGTTTGCTTAATTTATGGTCTGATGAACAAATCACTACACTGGATTTACACCACATGCTGTTTGCATTAAACTGCTATTTTGTTATCTTAAATATTTATACTGCTTGCTACTGTTGGGATTCTCTGTGCTGTTATTTCTGTGTTTTTTATTGATGGTATGAGTTGCCCAGAATTACGAGGAGGATATTAGTGTTAGCAAATAATAATAAATAATAAAATGTGATTTGCAAAGGCAAAATAGGGCTGGGTTCACACAACATGCTAAGTCCAAATCAAGCAAGCCTTACTATACCTTAGTCTGATGCATGAACCTGATCGCTGCCTTATTGCCAAATCAGACCATTCATCCATCTCCCGTATCATGGCCTCTATAGTTTGAGGGCTGCTCTCCGGGGCTTCAGATAGTCTGGGGTAGATTCTTCTCTAGAGGTAATTAAACCTAGGCACTTCTCTGGCACTAAACTACAATCCTTTTCTTTCAGGACCTGGAGTTAACCTCTACTTTTATTTGAGAATTTGGAAATGAACTCTACCATTCTATATGTTATTCAGAAGCAATTATGACTGGAGCAGCATGTAAGGCCAGTAAATAAATAAATAAATAAATAAAATGTTCTGATCGTACCCTGGTTCCAAATCTCTTTTCATTGCTAAGATTGGCCTTTGGCTACATCAATGTTTCTCAACCTTGGGAATTTTAAGGCGTGGACTTCAACTCCCAGAATTCCTCAGCCAGCAGGGGTGGCTGGGGAATTCTGGGAGTTGAAGTCCACACACCTTAAAGTTCCCAAGGTTGAGAAACACTGGGCTACATGAAATAGAATCTCACAGTATCTCTTGGAAAGTATATTCCCACAAGGCAAAGGCAACCTGATCCTAATAACCCAGAGAAGGACACTTGTCAGGCAGCTGGCTTTGCTCTTCCAGTGGCAGAAGGAACCGTTATAAAGTCTAGTCCTGCAGTTGTTTTTCCTTCTCCATCCTATTTTTTTTTTCCTTTGCTGTTTGAGATTGTCGTATTACTGATCTGGATAAGCCATTGTGGGAGATTTTTTCAGCTGAAGAAATGAGGTAAAAATGCCTTAAATAATCAATTCCCATAGATATCACCCACTAACAAGAAAGGTTCCTGTTTGTTAAAGATGCTGTGTCTAGACAGTAGAAGATATAAAAAAGGGATTTATTGAAACTGAACAGAGACAAACAATAATACTTCGTCTGTTTAAGAAGCAGCAATCTTGTTTAAAAGTCTCTTGTATTCTAAAGAGACTTTTAAAGTTTCTGCTTCTTAAACAGTCTACTTACATTACTATAAAATATACACATATATGTATGTGTGTGTTTATATCTATGTGATGGAGAAACAAGGTTACCTTCCATCCTGGTGTCATATTTCAACAAATTTAAATTACAAGTATATTAAACATTAATCTGAAAGGATTTTGTTAAAATTTCAGAGCTATTCAGAAAACTTCAGGCTTTTATGTCCTGCTCTTTTTGAAGTCAGGAAAGTAGGCCGAACCTTCTGATTTTAAGCTGTCATTGAGTACAGAACACTGGTCAGCTAGGAATTCTCAGAGCCTGGAGGTGCCAGGCTGGAGAAGGACTGGTTGATAGAACTAGAACCAGAACCAGAAGAATAAGAACAAGGGAACATGGAAGTCACACCTGTCTGATTCTTGAGTACAGCTGCTTGAGATAGCAAGTATACTTAGTATTTTTATATTGCCTGGGCTAATTGAACCCAAGTATATCTTTCAGTGCAAGAAAATACTAGCAGGAGGAATGTCATTGCCCAGTTTTGCCCAGAATAGGAAGAGCTGATAATTTTTTTACGCATGAATGTGTAAATTTGATTTCTTGGATTATCTGATTATCTGTGCAAGTATATCACAACTGATCATTAAATCAAAGAAAAGAAAATGGTGCTATCTTTTTTTAAGGCCTTTCGGGGAGAGCTTTCTTCAAGATGTCTTTATGCATCCATTCCTTTAGTGCTAGTGATTTAGTTGCCTTAAAAAGATTTCTTACCTATTCCATTCAAGCTCTCTTCAAAATATTCCCCTTGGTCTCAGCTTCCCAACACTCTCAGTGTTGCTTGCTGTCTCTGCCAGTCTCATAATATGTCAATTATGATGTGTGAAACTGAGGCTACATCCATCCACCCTGCCAATCATAAATAATCACCATTACCTATATAGACCCATTACAACTAACTTGTCATTTTCCCTTTTCCCTAAATGTTACATGGACTTGAGAAAGAAGCACTGAGTGCACATTCCAGCACAGTTTGTAAGGAATACTTTTCAAAAATGTTCAGTCTACCAAATAATAGTGCACATCAGCCAAAAGAGCTTACAAAGCTGTAGGTAAAAACCATGATAGAAATGCAAAACAAGAAAAAAAAATCTAGCTTACTGTAAAAGCTTCCCACCCAAAGTCTATATCCTTGTTGATAAATTTTTTATATCAGCTAATAGCTATTGAAGAAAATCTCCAAAGATGTGAAAGGAAGGTAGAGGTTAAAAGCTGTAGGGCCAGAAAAGAGCATTATTGTGTGGAATTAGGAAGTGATCTCTTCCACAGGGTAAAAGATCCCCCACCCCAGTTTTGTTATATTTACATTAGGCACGGGGCACTTATGATCAAATAATGACATAATAACCCTGCTATAGCTTTGTATTTCATCCTGCTCTGCTGCATACCTCCTTCTGTCTTCACTCCTAAAGAAAACCCAACCAACGCATGTATTTTCTGCATTGTTGTGGAGCAAGGACATAATAAACATGGATATTATGTTATTCAGCTTCAGCAGATTACCTGTTATTCAAATCAGGATCACTGAAACACAACAAGAAAAAAAAAAGGTTTGAGAAAATGTATGGACAGTTGGTTAGTGCTGCATTAGAAAGAGGAGAGAAGTTGATATTAAAACTAGGAAGGGGAGATGGGGGGGAGGGAAAGTCAAGATGGTAGCCCCAATCATGTGATCAAAGCTCCACTAGCACACTGACTCGAGTTCCTGGCTGAAAGGCAGGATATAAACCTAATAAATAAAATAATAATTTTTAAAACTTGTTTAAACAACAGCCCTTGTTGAGGAAAAAATGTTCTTTGTTCATCTTAATCAAGAATTCATATCATGTCATCAACAGATTTTACTGTCGATGTCTTCCATCTTTTCCTCTTATATTTTGCATACATAATTGTGGCATATTGTATTTATTATATGAAGAGGCTAAAAATCATAATTATGGCTGTATCCATCACAGACAGTTTTTAGGTCCTTGTGTAGATTATTTTTCTTTCCCTGGAGCAAGTTTCTGTTCCTGTGATTCTCTTGGCCTTTTGATTTTTTAAATAAATAGTGAAATAGCAATATTTGCTGTAGAAAAAGAAAAAAAAATAAAGAAAACTTGTATAATACTGTTGCAGAGAAGCAGAAGCTGGTGCAAACAAGTCTATTCATTATTAATCCTTTAGCTTCACCTTAGGATGATGTGCATCAGGTCACAGAGCCCCCAGCCATCCCTTTGTTGCTGTTGTTGGTCTTAATATTTGAAACTTTGCTGAAGTGAAGGGGAAACATGACCTGTTTGAGAAAAACCTTAATATCTTGGGATCCCACAGGAAATGAAAGCTGAAAATATTGGGGATTCCACTGCCAGTAATGTCACTGCCACGTCCTCTCATGGCCTGCGGTGGTTGAAAAATACTTTGAAAAATATGCAATTCTTGGTCAAAGAAAGGTTATTCACCCATATTTTACAATCTGAACTTAATGAGCTTGCTAGAATCCCATCTTAGACAGTTGTATGTGTTGGTTGGGAATACTATCATATATTTTAAAGAGCCAGTTTAGTGTAGTGGTGAAGGTGCTGGCCTAGAAAGCAGGAGACTGTGAGTTCTAGTTCTACCTTAGGCATGAAAAACCAGCTGGGTGTCTTTGGGCCAGTCACTCTCTCTCAGCCCACCCCACCTCATAGGGTTGTTGTTCTCAGGA